GTGCCCCCGAAAGCCATTCCGATATCGGTATATGCAGGGGCCCTGTAGTCCATAAGGATCTTATCCTCAGCTCGAGCACGTGGGGTGTCCCGAAGACTACTAGCGTACCACTGATTACTGCCATATCGGAGAGATTACTTCTAACTGAGACCGGCTGGAATAATTCGCCGACTAGACAACTACCCGAGTCGAGCTACGAGAATCTGAGAACCCCCATGCAACGCGCTCGCGAAGGTTCGAATCCCACAGGGCGCATTTCCGACGTCGTTGCGAGGAGATGTGGGCATCTACAAAGTGACTAAGTATAAGAATAATTACATGCAAGTCGTGCACTGGGCGGAGCGATGCAGTCCTTGGCACAGTAGAAGATTTCAAAAACGCATCACAAGAGAGCACTCCACCTAATTTTTCCGAAGTTTTTAAGGAGCGTGTTCACTGAACGCAACTCTGTGACTACTCCGGAAAACCGCGTATGTGGTCCTGGCAGTGAAAGTCCTACATAAGACTGCACTTGTCGCAAGCGCATTGCAGTCTGAACATCGCTTGTAGTTACCACTATAGTGGATCGTACCATGGCGGCCTCTAGGACCTACAAGGTGACTCGCGAAGTAGTGCATCTGCTGGCCGGCAAGATGAATAGGGATGGTCGTACGGTAATGCAGTCATATCGGCTCTGAAGAGACCTCTCCCATAGGTAACCCCCGATGACAGACGTGGGATCCTTCGCTTGGTGGAGTGTGACGATGGGTGCTTGCGGGTCGAATTCGTCCTGAGGTAAGCGTGGTAGTATGAATAGTATTAGTTGGGGCTACTCGTTATCAGGTCGGACGGTTGTGATGTCGACTCTACAGGACCTGAGGAGTCTTTCGTGGCTGATAAAGGCGATAAGTAGGTGAAGTCTCTCGGGCGTCTCAAGAGGAGTTTCTATCTACCTACCTCAACGACTCGTTTATCGATCCCCCTCAGACTGGACCCAGTCCCCCAGTGCACCACCGGACGAGTTTACGTCCTTCGAATCAAAGACCAGCGACATTTGTACTACTCAAGGAG